CACACCAGCTCGGCAGATCGACAACATCGATCTTTTAACATATCGATACATGAGATTCGTTAGCGTATCGACATGGATCCAGAAAGTTTTAGTGAAGGAGGCGGTGAACAATATAATTTTCAAAAACATCACACATTCAATATAATAGAAAAACTGTGTGCTTTCAAACATTGCTAACAATTAGAGTCGTTTTATTTTCTCAAGTTACGAATATATTAATAGATGACTCAAACCTATACAACATAAAAATATAGAAAAATAAAAGAAATATTTCATGTTTGAATTTTCTATAAGCATATATCGTGTATTTCCACCACATTAAATTTCATATCTTAAGTGCATATTAAATTTATTCCTCGTATTAAGTTATAAACAAGTGTATTTATAGAATACTTACAAAGATCTAATTATAATAAGGAGTTTTATCAATACAAGTCCCGAAAGATAGGTAAACTATCAATCTGGGGCCTGAAATATTTTTTTTTCTCAATTAGGGACTTAAATGTTATAAAACTATCAAATTAAAGACCCGAAAGATGGGTAAACTATCAATGCGAGGCCTGAAAGATTTTTTTTCTCAATTCGGGACTTAAATGTTATAAAACTATCAAATTCTAGAATTAACAAAACCCATTATATTCTAATAATAATTAGTACATGGAAACTAATGAGTTATGATAGAGTTGTACAGATTATTCTACTAATACTTTTTTTGAATTCTCTATTTCTAGGAGAGAATGTTGATTATCAAAGCCTCAACTTCTTTATTTAAATTGTGGATCAATATAAAAATATAATTTACATATGCTTAGGAAAAAAAAAAAAAAAATTGTTGGGGGGACAATGGCCTCCCCCAACTGTAGTTTGGATCCGTCCCTGTCGGACCTGGTCTGAGAAAGGTGCATGTAATACGACATATGACAGTTATGCTTTTGAGGATGGGTTGTTTTTTTGCTTTTCCTTCTTCGCTTCCACACTAGCTCGACAGATCGGCACTATCGTTCGTTTAACATATCGACACTGAACATTCGTTAGCAGATCGACATGGATCGTCGTCTTGGCCTACGGCCCATATGTGTTCTACTATGTCTTATGTCCCAAAACAAAATTTAACCCCCAATAAAAGTAGGTCATGTTAAAGGAGGTATAACAAGACTACAAGAGTGATGCTATTTTTGTGTCAACATATGCCTTAGAACAATGTATTGGTACTTTTTTGCCACAGAGAGAAAAAGAACATCGATATTTATCCAAATTGATCAAGCAAACATCCCTATAGTTTTCTTTCCTTAATTACAACACGATTGATGTAACCAAACCATCAACCATACATACATGCAATATATAAAAAAAAAATAAAAAATAAAAAAATAAAAAAATAAAAAACTCTCACAAACTGTAAACGAACAAGACATTCAACAACCGGAAGAAACTAAGCACATATGCACGAAAAGAAGCAAAATCAAAAAATCACACAAATCTGTTAAACGGTTTTCGACCACCGAAAGCCGGCATCGAGACAGTCGAGTCGATGCTCAAATCCCCAACTGCATACCTTTTCTCGAATCCAACGACTTTCCGAGAGGCGGGTTCGTTTTTAGACGACCCTTTATTCCACTTGAAAGAGCCAATATTATGAGTGAAAGAAAACGAAAACCTCCTCTTGGAATCATTAACCGGCGTGCCAACATTATTCTCTTGAAGCCTCTCCTTGGGATTGCTCGTAGCCCTCGTTTTTGCCTTAGCCGACACAGTGGGCGCCATATAACTCGGCACCGAAAATGGAGGACAGCTCGTGAGGCTATCGTCGTCTTTCAACAGGAAGTCATTGTAGGGCGAAGAATAACTAATTACGGTTCTCGGTTTCGAGTATGGTTTGGTAAAACCCGAGGCTTTAGCGGGCGAAGGAGTCTTGATCGGCGTGGTCTGAAAATGTTTGGTTTTATTGTGTAGTGGGCTCGGGTTGGGGTCGGGGATTGGCTTTGGAGGGGTAAAAGCAACCTTTTTCGTAGAGGCTCGGTTTTGGGGAGTGTTTGTTGGAGGAAGTTCACGCTCTAACCAGCTCCACCACCAAGGGAGTCCATTATTGGGTTGATTTTCGAGAGGATCTTGTGCTGATTTTGGGTTGCTGCTTTTCCACAACTGTTGCCGGAGAAGAATAAATGGTTAATTTAGTGTATAGTTAAAAATCGAGACAAATACAAAAGCGTGCATTATATGTTCAAGACATAAATAGATTTCTCATAATTGAGCATAATTTCACAAACTACGACATAAGGAAAAAAATGTTATGCAGTGACTTCATGAGAGAGCTTAAGGTAATAGTTGAAGGTAATTTTACGGTAAAGTTAAAGTCGATCGGTTATGAGGATAAATCAATAATTAACACTTAGGATACAATTTGTACAAAAGAACATCCAAGAGGGTACATTTTACCTGGTGAGAGTATGCATAAGCCATGGCTCTCTCCCGTTTCATGACTGCCTCCAATTTTTGTCGTAATCTTGCTTCGATTTCCTCTTTTGTTAGCATGCTGTCATCCCAATCTTCACTATTTTCAGCATCACGCTAACAAGAAAACGGAGAATGAGAGGAGAGATAAAAATGAAGAAAGAAAATATGCCACCGGAAAAAATTAATACATGAAGTTAAAGAAAGCATTCGTTTTGTCAGTGAGCATGAACAATTACCGAAAACTCAAACCGAACTATCATTTTCTCATTGAGCATGAATAATTTTCCTTAAAATGAAAAAGAACATCAATTTAAATGACAGAGAAATAATTAAGAACTCACAAATTGATTGGCGGGCCATTTACCCGGATTACTTTCGGCATCTTTCTCCTTCGTACAATAGAGTGCATGGTTTTCTAACATCTGTATCCTCCGTGACTGAATTTGGGTTTGAACCCTAACCAATAACTGCATTTGCTTCATTGCATTCATCGTCTGACGCTTCACATTTTCACTTCTTACCATCCCTTGAAGCCTCACTAAACCCCTCAAAGCCCTGAAATTTCGTCTTGCCTGCAACATTTAAAACAATATATGTACACACGAAACCATCCATACGCATTTTTTCGTGTAAGCTTTGCAATCACAATAAAAGAATATGGCTAAAAATGGATACAACACTATAGCAAGAAAGAAAAATAAATGTTGCATATAAGTTTACGTTGCAGCATTCAAGCTCCCTTCTTTTCCAATAGCACCCTCTTGAAAACAAATATCAAATGTTCGGGACTCCTTTTTTGCAAATACCACAAGGTCTAAAGGAACAAAAAGTTGAAGTTATTACCAGATAACCTCTATATGCTGCCTGTATCATTGTAGCCGAAAGGTGTCGGTACTTAAGTGTCGGCTCCAACCTCCGCCCATACCTAATCTCCCTTCGTCTTTGAGAAACCTTTGAAGAATCCGTTTTCGAAAAACCATCATTCGGATCGGATCGAAAAATGGGTTGGGGAGAAGGAGCTTTCTTTGGGAAGTTGTGTCGATTGGAAGAAACTGTAGGGGACGTAACTGCAGGCGAGGAAGCTATATTATGAGCATATTTAGGCGAAGCAATTTCCACAGAGGTTTGGTTCCAAAGGAAAGGAGGTGTCGTTTTCGGGTCATGCAAAGGGGTAAACAGAAGTTGATCGGCTTCGCCAAGTATTTGCTCGATGCTGCTCGGTTCTCGAAACAGGGGAATGAATGACTTGCTTTCTCCATGCCCCAGAATGCTTTTGCCCTTTTTCTTATTATCCTTGCTGCTTTTCTTGTCGGGAGCCTGGAAAAATAATGTTCGAAAGAAAAGGAAATGTCTTGATTTCGTGTTCTTGTTTTATACGTATGTCGATCGTGTTTGCTGTGTAAATGAGTTTCATTTTTAGTTGAGAGTGAATTATGAATGGTATAGATTAGATTCCCATCAAAATAACGTTTAAAACAAAACAATGGATTTAGATTTAATAATCAAGTCTCACTTTCACTACATTCTATGAAAACAAACAAATTAAATTGAAGAGAAACTATAGTGCCAAAAACAATGGATTGAAAAAACAGAAGACATTTAAATTTTAGAAACAAAAGAATGAGTTCAACAAATTGCAACTGTGGACTCAGAATCCTCAGCTAAAAAAATCCACCATATCAATACAAAATCATTAAGCAAACATGATTTAATCCGATCGCGTCAAAACTGAGCTCAAACAAGAAGCTCATTAGGAAATCAAACGACGATCAATTTTTTTTCTTTCATTAAGAATTTATAGTACGCGATATGGTACGAATCGCCTGGCACACAGTACGAAAGCATATTTACCTCGTTTAAGGAATAACTTACATAGGATGGCTTCTCCTTTGTGTTGTGCGTAAAAACCCGTTTGATTGCCGAAAACCAGCTTCCCTTCTTTCCCATCTTCTCAGCATTACTTTCTCCCCTGCATAAGGATCCTAATCAAGATTATTTAGTCAATTCTTTTTCATCTCATGACAAAGAATGTGTGCATTTGTGTGCCATCTTTTAGAGATAACTTCTTAAGACCAAAGAACATTCCAAATGTGATCAAAGGGCCAATTGGAAAACACAATCCCACAAGTAAGTAGATAATAAGTCTAAAAGGGTCCAAGAAAATCAACCCAAATCAACATTCAAGGGAGCTAAAAAGTAAAGCAGCTGAAATTTCACAAGTCCCCAAATCATCTATTTATAATAAAAAAGACTGAAAATTTGGGGGAAAAAATTCAAGAAAACAGCAAAATGTAGCTCAGAAATTACAATTTCACCAGCAAATTTAACAATTTAAACTGAAAAAACAAATTTTGAGAAGAAATAAACAAATGGGTACCAGCTTAACTTTGTCTACACAACCTTCAAAATCCCCCCTGAAGAATGCACCAGCAAGCACAAAACTCACCCATATCTCTCTCTCTCTCTCTCTCTCTCTCTCTCTCTCTCT